TCCACTCACCTCAGCCTCCCAAAGGCGCAGGATGACAGGCTGAGCCACCGAACCCGGCTTGAGATGGTATTCTTCACGCCTGCCCTGAGTGGGTCACGTTGCAGCCTGCTCCTCTGTCGTGGCCGTAGCGACCCCCTTTGGTCTCTCTGGGGCATCTCACTTTCCAGCTTCTCGCAGCCTGGAGCTCTGGGATCCCATCTAGCCCAGGGCCGGAAGCTGAAAACTGTATGTCCCAACCCCAGACAGATGACTTCTCAAGTTCATTCCACGTCAGGCAAGGGGAGACCCAAAAAAAAAACCCAGAACTTGCTTTTGAAAGGTGGGCCCTTATAGTACAGGCCTTCCCCACTAGCTAAGTGTTCTGGGAACCCACTGGCACCTGTGTGCAAGCTTGCATTGTTGTGAGAGGCTGAGTTTGACTTCAGTGAATTTTGGGGGGACGATCCTTTCAACGCGTTTGCCAGTTTCATGATGGGTGATTTCTGAGCGCACCTGCCCACACCATGCTGAGTGTTCAACGGTTTTTTGACCAAAATCGGCATGGCTCCCATGCCCCACCCTCCCTATTTACCAGATCTTGCCCTGATGGACCTTTTTATGTTCCCCTGCCTGGAAAAAATCCTCAAAGGGGAATGTTTTGCCGATGTAGAAGAGGTGAACCGAAAAACGGCAGAAGCACTAAAAGACATCAAAATGGATGAGTTCAAAAACTGTTTTGAGCAGTGGAAAAAGCATCTCACTAGGTGCATTACACCAAACAAAGAGTACCTTGAAGGTGACAAGTTTAAACATGTAAGAATGAATACACGGTTTTTAATAAATAAATTCCAGGGATCTTTGGGTCCCCCCCCCCGTATATTCTACATACCATGACAGATAACCCCACCTTCACTGTGTTCTGCAGGTCCCTTTCCCCTACCCAACCCAAGAATCACTATTGCTCAAAATAGATGTTATCAATAGGGCGGGCTTCCTAAAAATCAATCTGAGATTGCCACTCTCCTCAGATTGTAAACTATCAGAACATAAAACCACGGTAGGCTGTTCTTTAAGGACATTAAATCCTGAACTACATTTAAATATGGAAGTTGGACACAGATACCAGACTGAACACATGAGTCTGTCTCCCCTCCTTTCCTGAAGTCATTGTTGCCAGAAGATATTCTAAAGAATAAATCTAGCCAGGTGCAGTGGCCCACACTCACAATCCCAGCACTTTGGGAGGCCAAGGTGAGAAGATTGCTTGAGTCTAGGAGTTTGAGACCAGTCTGGACAACATAGCAAGACTCTGTCTCTACAAAAAAAAAAAAATTTTTTTAAATGAGCCAGGCATGGTAGTATGCGCCTGTAGTCCCGGCTACTTGGGAGGCTGAGGTGGAAGGATTGCCTATGCCCAGAAGGTTGAGACTGCGGTGAGCAGAGATCATGCCACTACATTCCAGCATGGGCTACAGAGTGAGACCCTGACTGAAAGAGTAGATCCATAATAGTGCTAGGGGGAAAAAAACATGAAAGAATGCTATTGGTGAACCAGAAATGTCAAGGAATCCCTAAATGGAAGAGAGCAGGTGGGCTCCAACTGACAAAAGAATAAGATCCAAGAAAAGCACACCCCGAACAGGGTGAGTGAGGACAATGGAGGAAGTGAGAGTAGCCCAGGGATTCTCCAGGTTCAGAGTCAACAGATTCCAGGTACAGGAGAGACTGAGGCATGACCAGGCTGGCTACTGCTCACAGGCTGAGAGAGCAGCACCTGGCATCGCACCTCTGGGCTCTGGATCTGACAGGCAGAGCAAGGCCTCCCAAGGAACCCACCTCAGAAAGAAGATCTCTGCCCAGCCCACCTGGCAGTGTGTCTTGTTTATCTTCTGTGATCCCCAGAGGCTCCTATGATGAGAACTTTATCTACAGAGATGTGAACTTGGTTCTCCATCACGAAGAACAATCAACAAATAATCCTAAAGCATTTGAGGAAAACCAACATCAAGAAAGAAAGGCTCAACTAACAGATTAATGGATACCTGAAGAGGAAAAAGAATAAGTAGAGCCAAAGATTTGAAAATAAATAGAATTCGTGTATTTAGAGAGATTGGAGAACATAACACTTCTGTTAAAGTAGAAGAAGGAAGAGGAGCTAGCAGCAACCATCAGTAAAAAGAGTAAAGTACAAACTTGGGGAAAATATGCAGTGGTTGAAATATTTTTTAAAAGTAGATAATGTGGGCCAGCTCAGTGGCTCAGCCTATAATCCCAGCACTTTGGGAGGCCGAGGTGAGTAGATTGCCTGAGCCCGCAGGTTCAAGACCTCATCTCTACAATAAAAAAATCAAAAATTAGCTGGGTGTGGTAGGGTGCGCCTGTAGTTCCGGCTACTTGGAAGGCTGAGGCGGAAAGATCACTGGAGCCCAGCAGGTAGAGGCTGTGGTGGCTGGGAGCATGCCACTGCACTCCAGTCTGGGCAACAGAATAAGACTCCAACTCAAAAAAAAACAAAAAACAAAAAGTAGATGATGTGGATAGCAGAATGGACACAGTTGAAGAACGAATTAATGAACTGAAAAGTTAACCAGCTAAAAGAACAGAGATAGAAAATAAAACAAAAGTTAACACATGGAGGATCAAGCCAGAGAGATCTTATCTGTGTGATAGAAATGCCAAACAAAAAGGACAGAAGGAATGGAAAAAATGAAATAAAAGTATGATAAAATAAAAATTTCAAATAGTTATAGTTTTCAGGTTGAAAGAGTTTACTAAGTGCAGAATAGGTTAACTTTTAAAAACCCTTAGCCAGACATATTATGATGACTTTTTAGAATACCAAAAACAAAGAAAATATTAGAAGCTTCCTAAGAGGAAAAAGTCCAAAAAACTGAGGAAGAGAGAATACTTACAAACTCATTTTATGAGACCAGCATTACCCTCATACCAAAGCCAGACAAGTGTACTACAAAAAGCAAAACTTATAGACCAATACTCCTGATGAACATAGATGCAAAAATCCTCAACAAAATACTAGCAAACCAAATTCAACAGGACATCGAAAGATTTCTTCACCATGGTTAGCTGCCCAACCCACAGGCTGGCATTAAGTGGGATGCAAGGATGGTTCAACATATACAAATCAATAAATGTGACACACAACATTGACAGAATGAAGGGCGTAATTGATATGATCATCTCAACAGTTGCAAGAAAGACATTTGACAAAACTCAACACCTTTTCATGAGTAAAAACAAAAAAACTCAATGAATTAGGCATAGAAAGAAAGTACCTAAATATAATAAATGCTATATATGTAACATCATACTCAGTGGTGAAAAGTCAAAAACTTTTTTCTCTAATACACAATACAGAAAGAACAGTCTCTTCAATAAAGGTGTTACTGAAAAGAAAAAGTGAATAACTTTCAAAAGTATCCGTTGGCATTAGATTTCTCATCAATAAAAGTGCATACTAGAAGACAGTGAAATAGTATATTCAAAATTATGAGGAAAATGTGTTCTTAACCTGAACCATTCTGATCAGCGTTCAAGTAGCAAAGCAAAAAGAAAAAATTTATAGAAGTGTGAGAACCCAGAAAGCTTGTTCCCCCACATAACCCTTCCTTGAAGCAATTACACAAGTGTGTACTTCCAACAGAATGAAAAATGAATCAAAGAAGCAAAATGACAAGAATCATGATATCAGTACAAAATATATAAAGATTATAGTTATGAACAAATAAATTATAAAATTTCTATTAAGCCCAAGTAATGGCTAAAGGAAAAAATGTTCAAAACCTTAACAACAATTTGGAAACAAAATCCCACATTATCTCGAGAAGATAAAGTGAAGTGGTAGACTGAGAAACATGAAACTGTGCTAAGATTCTTCTCTGGTTTGGGGGGAAGAAATGTACTGTTTAACTCTACATATAACTAAGGTAAAGGTATGTATAAACACGTATGTCGATATGTAAAGGTCAACCCCTAGAAAAATAGAAATGGGCCAGGTGTGGTGGCTCACGCCTGTAATTCCAGCACTTAGGGAGGCCGAGGTAAGAGGATTGCCTGAGCCCAGGGGTTTCAGACCAGCCTGGGCAATATAGCAAGACCTCATCTCAAAAAAAAAAAAAAATGAGCCAGGCATGGTGGTGCATGCCTATAGTTCCAACACTTTGGGAGGCCAATGCAAGAGGATTTCCTGAGCCCAGGAGTTCAAAAGCAGCCTGGGCAACATGGCAAGACTTTGTTTCTACACTAAGTCAAAAAATTAACCAAGTGTGGTGGTGTGTCCCTGTAGTCCCAGCTACTCAGGAGGCTGAG